AAAAAAAAAAAAAAAAAAAAAAAAAAAAAAACACCCCCCCCCCCCCCCCCCCCCCCCCCCCCAATTAAATTTCATTCTTCTGAAGAACACACTTCAAGGAACCTATATGCAAGAAACGGAAAAATTCTATGTGTTAAACACCCTACGCTTTCAATACAGAATCACAGTAAAATATTAATTTAAATTGAGTTTCAACGTCACATTTCGGCAAATATCTCGACAAAGATGCCACAGATCTATATGAGATAGCAATGAATTCGATAGCTAAATTTCTGAGGAATCGAATGGTGTTAAAAAATCAGCAGATTTTCAACAATGAACTAAACAATGCTCTTTGTGAAGGCAGGTCAAAGCTTTTAATAACTTGCCAGCCGACCTGACTACTGTACCTTTCATCCTGCCACGAAAAAAGTTTCGCACTAAATTGGAAATGACGGCGCTTTTATGTATATCTGGGCATTCCACGCCAAATCGCACAAGTTTGCACCTCGACCTTTCAAATTTTTTTCATTTTTTGGTAACTTGTGGCACTTGATACCACTGATTTTGAAGTTGAAAGAGTTTACCTCAAAAAGTGCGCTGGCGGCAAAGTTAGAGCGTTTTAAAGTGCAAAAAAAAAAACGCAATTCTCCCTCAAAATGGTCATCTTTAAAAACTTGTAATTTTTTTACTCGCAACGAGATTTCCTCATTATTAATTTTTAATTCTTCTGAAAGCTTGTCTCCTGCAGATTCAAAAGAATAGGAAAAGACTTACATTAGCAAATTTTATTTTAGAGCAAAAAAAATGAAAATTCAAAATGTTTTTTCTCAAAGACGGGCATTTTAAATTTTCTTAAAAGAGATATTTTTTTGAGGACGTAATTTCTACACAAAGTATACAAATTCCAAAGTGGTATCCTTTCGGCATTAAGAGTTACGGTACGATTGCTGACAGTAGACTGCAGGAAATCTCCAACAAACGCAACATTATTGCGCTTCCGCAACTGATAAAGCTCCTATCTCAATTGAAATGTTAACAAATATAATAACGTATATAATTTATCGAAACCTCTCTCCGTTCTTTTAGTTCAATTACAGGTAGACAATTTGAAATTTTTAACATTTAATCAATTTCAGAAAGTTTTTTTAGAAGAAGATTTGTATTATAATTACTTTTTTGCTTTATATCGCTTTGCTTCCTTACCGAACTCTTCTGACCCAAATATACACAGTGCTGATTCCTGCGTCTGAGCATCGTT